TTATACCGTTGACGTGGCCTTTGGCCATGTCTCGTGAAGTCTCAATGTGCTGATACAGCAGAACGGTGCGACGCTCAAAATGTCCACGGCTACTGATGTCCAATATTGCCCGCGTCGTGCATGTCGTCCCGTTATCGTAGAATGGACAAAATGTTAGCGGAGAGAGAGAGAGAGATGACGACGATGATGATGATGATGACGATGTAGGCCAACTGGATCGTAAGCAGCTATACTGCTGGCACCGATCTCAGAAGTGTGTGCGTAAGCATGCGATTCGGGGAAAATTATTTAAGGCATGTCACGATGGAGACAATGTAAGTGACAGTCGAGAGATATCGTAATCGTAAAATACAATCGAAACCCACATCGGGTACAATCATGTTAAGAATAGTGGGGGGGGGGGCTTTCCTGAAAAAAAAACTAAATTATTAAAAGAAAAACAAAGAACTTTTGGATTTTTTTTCAAATATATTTCCTTCATTTAACAACATTTGTTCTAAAAGTAGAGTATACGCTACTGCCAAACTAAGTTTTGATTTAACAAAAAGTAGCATTACTAAAATAATCCTGGCCACCGGCTTTCGACCACATTCGAATTCGTACTACGGGGAAAATCCCATGCGAGTTGGGACGCTCACTTCTCTAATAGACTGTCGTGCAGTTCAGGTGAGCGTTTACAAAAAGCAAATTCAGCTGAAATATTTTTTCTTAGTCGCAGGGTTCCATGGCTTAAGTACAAAATGCAACGATATTTCCAACACCATCAAATCACAATCAAATTGGGTTAGTGGGGGGTGCAAATATAGTTATTATTTATAATGCATGCATTAAATAATTTTGTCCGTACATATTTAAATTACATAAATTATTAAATAGATTGACAGGAGGCCATGCGTTTTTACTTCATTAGTTCTGTGAACCGTACATGTAAAATGTATGTTTCCTCTTGTTTAAACACAATTCATGCTGTTTCCAACTCCATAAATTCAAGACGAAAAAAAAAATCGTTCATTTTATCCAGCGTTTACATGACCGTCTGGAAATACCACGTGGAAAACACATGAAAAATAAAAAAAAATGTTACAACAGTTTAGCGAATTGCAAGGAGCGTGATGTAAAATTACGCGTTCAGGCAGAGGCGTCGTCAGAAACCGCTCAATTATTTAGCGACAATGTAACTTACACGAACAATGCTCAGAAACTAGGTCAAATACTCAGCTCACGGAGTGCCCTCCCCTTAATTACTCGCAATTAAGAGGAAGTCAGTCAAAATATGATCAATATACAGTACTTAAAATAATAATCTGGAGCATATACTAAATAATAAAACTTGCTCAAGCGAACATTAACTCGTTAACGGTGCAACAATTTCTATATCCAATTTAACACGTGAGCATCGGTTGTGATAGCAACCGAAGCAGAAGCGACACGGATGCAAGCATTCGATAAAATTCGTCTTGCAGTGAAAAATATAAACCGGTACAGACTTGAACGGACGTCATGGCGCGATATTTTTTTTTTTGGCGAGATGCGTGGCAACGCTTCGTCTTAAGAAGGGAGGTGGGGGGGGGGCGGAAACGCCTACGGAACGTTGCGTCTGTACCACCGGTGACAATTACCAAAATGGTCTTGGCACAGGTCCACCCATGCCGTTCGCACTTCGCACGGTTCAAACGCAAGACATCGCAACCACCCCCCCCCCCACCGCAACTTCCAGCGTGCGGTGACACTTTTAGAGGGCAGCGTGCGGCACGTGCGGTTAGTACCGCTACGTCCTCGTCTTCTCACGGGGCCCATGGGGCGGCAAAATCTGCCCCGGGGTGCGCCGTGACGGTGCCTCGCGGAGCCGACGGGCGCCGCCGGTTTAAAAGCCACCACCCGCCGCGTCCTCTTGGCCGCGCGGCGCGGAAACTAAGCATGCAATTTGTCGTGCGTTTAAACGCCCGACGCGAATCGCCGGAAATTCGACCGTCCGTAAAGCTACCTTGGTGTTAAACAGCTTGCAGCACACCGGTAATTTGGCACTAATCTCTCCGCGCCGCCGAAAAGGTCGTGGCCCGCGCAACGGGCGAAACACCGCGGTTCCCGGCGGCTCGTTAACCCAAACGTGCTCTTCACGTGCGGCCGGTGAGGCTGGCACAGCTGCGCCGCCAAAACCGCGTGATTGTTGCGGTCAGGCATACGAAAGTCTCGACGCGCGGGCGGCGCCAGCAAAACACACGCCTCGCTCGTACCTACGTACGTACGTACGAGCGATCCGTCGGCAATACCGAATGCTGAGGGACGAAAGCAAATTTGCCAACGGGCCAACGAGGGCCAGAAGAGTCCGTACCTTGCGGCGTGACCGCCACTTTCTTGTGGGTGTTTAGGGACCAGTGGCCGTGCCTCGGGATGACAGAGCCAGACCGAGGTCGGCGATTGCAAAGGGCAGTGGTGCGATTGCAAAAGGCAGGAGAATCCTACCGGCGCAAGTTGCACGAGAGCTCCCGGCACAACAAACTGCAGTGCCATCGCAAAGCCAAACGCTCACCCAAGTGCGGGCCTTCTGGGTTAGGCCACGCGTCGAGCATAATCTCCTCTCGGGCCAACGCCGCGCGCCAGCTGCTGGCGACTTCAGGACACGAATCGTTGAAGATGCCCGCAAGACGGTAGCCTAATCCAGAAAGCCACACTTGCACCACGCGTGGCTGCGGAAATGTACGCGCTGGATATCGTTTTACAGTCCCGGACAAAGAGATTTTTTTTTGGTTTTGTTTCAAATACGGTACTGACACATGCTGTCAGATTAGTGTTGCGAGCCGCGGCATACGTCTCTCATTGGCACCCTTCGATTGAAACAAAAAATAACAAATACATATAAATGACCAAACATACCCTGAAAAAGAGCCCTGAGACCCGGTGAAGCTCTGGTTTTGCGATCAAGAACCACGCAACGTTGTTTTTCCAGGCCCTGAGAGATCGCGCGACCTCATGGAGAGAGAGGATGGTGGCCCCCGTGACTCCATCTCCCTGGATGTGCGCACTACACTGCCGACGATTCCCACCGCATCTTCAAGTCCAGACTGAAGACCTTCCTCCTCTCCACTGCCAATGGCCACTTGCCTAAGAACAATCTTGTCAATCTATCTCACCTCTCTGCCCAATCACCTCGTATCATCGTCTCCCCCCAGACCGCACTCCTCTTCGCAGCTGCTGGCTGCCTCAAACTCTGGACACACATTGCGGTACGTTCATCACTAGCGTGGAGGCTGTGGCATTTGACACGGCAGGACGCGGGCGGTGTCTCGTGTTCCCCTGGTGCCCTGTCGCAGACCTGCGGCTGTGCCTCGTGACGGCCTGGGCCCGTGAGGATCAGTACAAAGCCTCTGGCGGCTCCGGCTTAGGGGTATGGGGTCAACTTATTTTGATCAGGTAAGGCCCCAATGAGCTGTGTAGCTCTTCGTCTGAAGCGACCTGGCCACAAACAATGTCATGTGGAAATTTATAGCAGCCAAATACTCTAAACGTGTGATATTGATTATAAATGTGGAGGGAAAACCGGAGGACCTGGGAGTAATGTCCACGCGACCACAGGAAGAACATGCAAATTCCAAATATACAGGCGTCAGGGTCAGGATCGAGTCCATCACCTCCTGTATACCAGGCGAGGTATTTAACATCTCGCCACCGTGGCGCCTACAACCATGAAGGCACTTTTGAGTTTGATTGTGAAGTCCAATTGGCAACACCTGGTCTCAGGATTCAGTGTGAAGGGCCCCTTCAAATATAAAACTCAGATATTGGAATCGAGCAAGGGACACCGATAGACATGCACAGTTCAAATAATAGACGTTTACACGAATGTAAAGTTACACGTTCAGATGCTATGTCATTACAATGCGTATTGTTTTGTTTATTGCTCTATTTGGGTACCTGGCACTCTGCGCTACAACCACTTAGAAGCCCTAAGAGTCCCAATAATTCTGCTCTCAAATGTTCTCCCGTTGTTTTTTGAGCATGGATAAAAAAAAAACAACGACAAAACAACACGGAAAGGATTCAAAACTGAACCAACCACTCCGTGGGCGTTTGCTGCCAGGGCAAAATGCAGGCATGCAGAGGAGGTGAATTTACACCGGCACGTAACGACGCATCGATCAGTCGATTGCCAACGTCGATCCTCACGCTCGTGGTACATGCATCAACAAATCGACCGCTCGAAATTTATGCAAGTAGCACGTGTAGTATATTTAGCCTGTCGCGGCAAAATAAAAGTACGCCGGTGAGATGACGAAACGTTGGGAACGATACGAACGGGGAGAATGATTCATTGATTTGTTCAATCGATTCGCCTACCCTGCATCGCGACAATTGATCAGATCGCTGGAGGAGCAGAATTAGTGGTAGGAGTTGGTGTAAGGGGGTCGGGGGGGGGGGCGCTGGTGAATTGTGACATGCCTGATAGCTCGGAAGAGGTTCGAGCGAGACATGAACGCACCTCTGTTTGTCGTTCCGTATGTCGGCTGGCCCAAAACGTTTTCCCTACCGGCGCTACCTCTCGGCCCACCCCTCTGCTCCCCCAACTCACCCCACACGGCTCCATCGAGCCAACCCCTAGCACAGGGAGCTAGGCGCTCGTGAAGCCGCGACTGCACGTGGGTGCGCACACAACTGGCACTTCATGTAAATCGACGCGTGAACTTTGCTGGTTGCTTCGGGAGAGCACTTGCATCATGCATAATACGTTAATAACACCGAGCGCGCTCCGACAACAACATCGGCTAAGAATCCCTCCGCTACGGACACTGTATAAATACTAAATGCACATGCCGAAATGCCACGCGGTGTAGATACGAAATCAATTTGCAATCGTTTATATATTTAAACTTCTTCGTTCCAAAAAAATAGACTTTTGCAGAAAGTTGTAAGAAAATGGAAGAAAACGTCTCTGTTGGGAAACTGTACCTATGTGTGAAATGGCCGATGCTGTTTTGAAACATCAGATTTGCTCGCGACTTTTCATTTTTCTTCAAATTTTCTTTCAACCAACCAACATTTATTTTTTCAATTTTTTTCTTTTTTTTTTCATCTTTATCCATCCTGCAAAAATATTACCACGATTTTTAAACGGGAAAGACCGTTTCGTTTTTTTCGTTGTTGTTTAGATTTGTGCTTTCCCGTCACCCCAACCACCCACGTCACGCCCAATTAACTTTTTTTTTTCCCCCCAACCACACGCAGAAAAGAAATTAAACGAGAGAGCAAAAAACGTGATAAGACAAAAGCACTTTTTTGTTCGCTGTCTCGACAAAGTCCACGCGTGTTACTCCACTCCGTTGCACCGGTGATCGCAGAGGTCAAAGTTCACACTTCGTTCCCCCCAGCACCGCCAACCACGGCAAGTCGGGGTCGTGGGATATTAGGGCAGTGTGGGAAGCCGGGGGGGGGGGGGGGGGTGGGCTTGGTGTTGGTGATGGTGGTGGCGAGGCGGCGAAATTCGAGGTGGCGACCCTCCCCAGCAGGTGCCATCGCCCGCGGAGCGTCGAGCTCCGGAGTCGGCGCCGCCCTCCTCACCGTCGCTTCCCTCGCCTCGTCGGCAAAAAGGGGAGCTCACGTGAGGAGGTGAACGAAGAGGATGGCGAGGCCCAGAACCAGCAGCCCCACCAGCGCGACGAGCACCGCGTCCGGCGCCTGCTGAGGACAGAACCGCACCGTGCCGGCCACGTGCCAGGGGTCAGCACCACCGCCTGCAACGTCACGGTTTTACTTGCAGCGTCACCGTTTATTTTGATAATTTCACATTGCCCACTGGCGCTGCTCCGTTTCGATGAACCCGAGGTGTTAGGTTTGGCGTACGTGGAGCGGTGGCGGAGCGGTTTGGGCAATGTGCCGCGTAGCCAAACCAACCCGAGTTCGATTCCCTGCAATGACTAACATCAGTGGCGATCGAGATCTGGCCTGGTCCTGGGCAACCCCCCTTGACCGACCTGCACTAACCAGGCTATGCTTCACAGGTGGATATAATCCGCGAGTAAGGGGTGATATTGCCATGTGGATTTAACCGATTTTTTTTCAGTAATTAAGGTAATTTGTGGGTAAATCGTAAAATATGGATAAATGTAGTTGGCAAACATGACCTACACCATTTCAGGATTGCACACCGGGACCTTCAATATCCGCTTTTTTAACAATTAATGCGCCAAACCCACGGTATTAACCAGGGTGGCCGCCGTATTCGATCCGTGAACATCTGACAACAAGCGGTGAAAAGCGCCACCACTCAGCCGTGTCAACTCGGGCTCTGCGGCATTCGGGGCCTCTCAACGAGACGAGGGCCGCATTCTGCGAGCCACAAATTTAGCTCGAGGGGGGTGGGGGGGGGCGGTCGGTGCTGCTGGGGTTTGCAATCGTCAGGCATTCGCTGAGCTTTAAGCACGAGTTGCTGAATTCGACTTCGTGGCTCCCAGATCAAAGGTGTAGGACTCCCCCCCCCCCCCCCTCCTGTAGGAGTACAGAGACGTTTTAAGTCGGGCAGTGCAGTTCCGGTCAGCGGAGTTTGCACAAAGGATGAATCAACATAGCAGGCCCCATCAGCCGCATATGCACTGTATGTATGTTGAACGTGGCCAACCGTAATAATCGGGGCGCATGGTGGTCTCCCGTCCAACATTATCATGGCTAGAATATGCTTAGATTCCAAGATATGATGAGGTTGGGTGCATTCGGGGTTACATAGGCCGACATTCACAAGCGTCACATGATTCACTTGGGTCTTTGTTTTCATCTGCCTCCTCTGCCCCCCCCCCCCGCTGCCTTCTGCCAAAGTGACTGAGCTCACATTTTCTGTTGCATAATTTATTTATTTTATAATCACGAAAACCGGTGTAGACACAGCGGCTCACAACATACACTGTGAGAACAGCCTCTTCCAACAGCCTCGTGGAATCAAAGAGAGCGGCGAAGATCAGCGACTAAAATATGACCCCTTACAGCAGGGTCAATAAATTTTTGGAGGCCTGGGGCAAAATGCCAGATAAGGTCCCCACTGAGGGCCCCATCAGATCTGAGGCCCAGGGAGAACGGGGCCCAGCTGATCTTCCCATGGGGTGGCCGGGTCAATCGATCAGGCATTCGGTTTCTCGATTCCAATCGATTTTTTACGCTCATGACACCGTGGCTGAACCCAGTATTTCCACACGAGAGAATACACTCTCATGTAGCGAGGATAAGGGCATAGCATTTGCATGGTGAATGTACACGCACAGCGCATCTCTCTGCACCTCTGATTAGCACGGTTGGCTATGCACGGTGCAAAAGCAGTTCAAAAGACAAAGACTCCCCATATAGGCTTTACAGACTGTTGGGGCAAGTGCTGTTAGCGAGCACCGATGAAGGACAGCATGGCACACGAGGGGGTGGCCGGCCAGCACGCCCGTCGCCTTGTCTCCCTAGTGGTGAAGTATTTACACATTGCACTAGGTACTCATTTGAGGCTGAGTCGTCCCAGGACCGGTTCAGATAATCGTCGTCGGCGTTGGCTGTGAATGGGAATCGAACTCGGGTCGCTGGGTTCATAGCGCAGCGAGCTAACCATTACACTACCGCTCCCAAAGCAGTTCAACATACATACATACATCGAATTGTGCGTGCGAGACTTGATTATTTTCGTATTTATATTAATTGGGTTCGGTGAAGCGGTGGCGCATTGGTTAAGCGCACTGCTCCAAGGCCATGGCGACCTTAGTTTAATTCCCGTCCATGGGTAACGTCAGTGGTGAGTGGCATCTGAACCGGTCCGGTCCTGGCCTCCGTCTCCCACCACCGCTTCTCATGTCACCAACCTGCACTGGTGAAGTATGGTCAAATAACTCTCATGACCGACGCGGCATTAAGTCGTGTCTGGCCAAGGCAGGAAGCTAGTGTTGTCACGTGCAATTTTAATTGAGGAATCGATTCATTTATGACGGCATTCTCTCCAAGAAAGCCACTGCACCTTTCAGGAGATTCACTTATGGAGGGGTTTTGTCGATTGATCTTTTGACGCATTTATTGTGTGATTACTGATCAATCGACCACTTAACGACTGATCAATTATAACCCCTCGCTATTAGTTAACCCATCTACTTGGGAAAAAAACCCATCACGGCACACGTCTCATTCGAATGATTTAATTTCCGCAAGGGATCTCTTATCGCCCCCGGCCCCCCTTCCCGCCCCCCCCTTGCCGTGGGGGTCCCGGAGGCCGGGTCCGTGCCGCTGTGAGAGAGGGAACATTCTGCTGCCGGGCGGGGGGGGGGGGGGGGGACGGGGGGGGGGGGGCGCGACACAACGTCCAGTTATTTTCAGCGGCAACCCGAGCCACCGCTGACGCCACGGGTCCCGGACTCACGCGCCGTCCCTGCCCCTAAATAAGGCCGGCGCGGCCACGGTGACTTTGGGTCGGTTTGGGGGTGGCAGTGTCGCGGAGCCGGAGCCGAATGACAACGCACCAGCGGGCTGCCACCTGCTTATCGTCGACCAAACCGTGATTGGCACCTCTCCTGACCGCTGAACCCTCGCGTGTTTAAAGAAATTGAATTGCCGGCGGATATTGAGTTTGATCGGGCAAAGGTGGGCAGCCCCCTTTTTTTCATTACTGGGGGAGGGTTGCGAGTCACACTTTTGCACGCCTTTGGCGGGCGACCACGCATTAGTTGACTCTCAAATTTGATGAGGCTAGGACTCGTGAGCGTCCACTGTGCGGAGCTCAGAACTGCTCGTGAAAGACAACAGGTGACCGAGCGTGCTAAAAACAGAAACAGTGGTGGTGTTGCCAGGCCGACCATAGTCCGCCCCCCGGTACCCGATTAGTGCGGCTAAGACGCGAGTGCTGATGGGTAAATACTGTATAGTTTGCTTGCCGGCCCTTTTCTGAGCGGTAGGCCTCGCCGGCGCGGCCATGGGCAGTGCAAAATGAATCGTCAGGTTGGTTTTGTCGCACTTCCGAGCCTTCGGTTCAGCACCCCTGGACTAAAGTGGCACGGCGTGCGGTGGCCCGGGCTGGGAGGCGGAGGAGTCAATGGATGGGCACTGGAGAGAGAGTGCAGAGGAGAGAGGGAAAAGTGCTGGAGAGAAAGAGAGGGAGGGAAAGTGCTGGTGGGAGAGAAGAGGGGGGGGGGGGGTCTTGAAAGAAAGGGAGAGTACTGGAGAGAGATGGAGAGTACTGGAGAGAGAGTACTGGAGAGAGAGGGAGAGTACTGGAGAGAGAGGGAGAGTACTGGAGAGACAGAGAGGGTGCTGGAGAGAGAGGGAGAGTACTGGAGAGAGAGGGAGAGTACTGGAGAGACAGAGAGGGTGCTGGAGGGACAGAGAGGGTGCTGGAGGGAGAGGGAGGGTGCTGGAGGGAGAGTACTGGAAAGACAGAGAGGGTACTGGAGAGACAGAGAGGGTACTGGAGAGAGAGAGGGAGGGTAATGGAGAGACAGAGAGAGTACGGGAGAGAAAGAGAGGGTGCTGGAGAGAGAGGGAGAGTACTGGAGAGACAGATAGGGTACTGGAGAGAGAGCGAGGGTGCTGGAGAGACAAAGAGAGGGTGCTGGAGAGACAGAGAGGGTGTTGGAGGGAGAGGGAGGGTGCTGGAGAGACAGAGAGAGTACGGGAGAGAAAGAGAGGGTGCTGGAGAGACAGAGAGAGAGTACTGAAGAGAGAGGGAGAGGGCGCTGGAGGGTCAGGGTGGGTGCTAAAGGAGCAGTGCTGGAGGGAGTGCTTGCTGCATGTGGTTCTGAGCATTGCTCCCCGGCTCGCCGCTTCCCATTAGCCGCCGCCACGAGTTATCACTGCTCTTGCGTATCCACAGCAACCGAGAGCGGTCGCCATGGCAACCCCGCATCCGCCACTTGGGGCAGAGGGCGGATGCTCGCCGGCGAGCGAGCCAATGGCCGGCTTGGGTTTAACAAAAAAAAATAGATTTCGTTCTTTCGTTCGTTCATTCCCCCTTGTTGTGAAACGGCGATGGCGAGAAAGTGATCCCATCAGTGGCGTTAATCGCTCACGGAGCTTACGTGACCCCTTCCAAAGTGAGCCGTCCCATGCATTGCAAAACCCACTATCATAATCGTGGGTGATCCCATTAGAGGGTTCGTCAGATTCAGGGTTCGTATGCATGTGGCTACGAGGGGAAATATAGAGACGCACGCATACACATTCTCACTCACAAGTGCATACGTACAAACACACACACGCATGCAGACCTACACATGAATATGCAAACACAGATCTATATATATATGTGTGGGTAGATAAACAAACACAGACTCGTGTATACAATTACACATACACACTTGCACACAAAAGCAAAGACAAAGATCCCCCGTATAGCCTTAACGGACTGTTGGGGCAAGTGCTGTTAGTGAGCCTGGCGCTGTACACGAGGGAGGGTGGATGGCCAGCACCGCGCCCGACCGCCTTTGGCTCCCCAGTGGCGATGATTTTTACACATCGCACCAGGTACTCATTTGAGGCCGAGTCGACCTAGGTGAGGCCCAGGAAACTTGCGCACACACATATACAGAGAGATGCTATTATCTGAGATTCGGGAGGTGAGCAAATGCTGTTTGACGCAACCACAATATCCTCAAAATGAACCCCCCCCCCCACATACAAATGCAACGGAGCAGACTAATTCAAACTAAAATATAACAGGTCCACCATCACCTGTTACGTAACCACGTATCAGGTCATCAACTCACGTCGTGGAAAAACCGAAGCGACGGATTGACGCGTCAGCAGAACGGCTGAAACGCTCCGGCTCGGTGATTTGGCACCATTGTTGATAAGTCTCAGCAATTGGCACGGTTCGGCCGAAATTGGAACCAGAAAAATAAATTCCGAGCACTCGGCAACGGGCCACGCGAATCGCGACCAGAGAAAAACGTTGTGTCGCGTTCCCTTCGAACCGCGCGCGAATCTCACGCGAATCTCACGCGAATCTCACGCGAATCTCACGCGAATCTCACGCGAATCTCACGCGAATCTCACGCGAATCTCACGCGAATCTCACGCGAATCTCACGCGAATCTCACGCGCGTCCGCGCGCAACTTCACACCGCACGCGCGCACGCGTGCGTACCAGCGCACAAGCGAAACACACACACACACGGTGGCGATGGTGGTGGTGGTGGCAGTGGTGCGGGTGGTGTTAGCCGGCATGCAAAATGTTTAGCACGAGCGGCGATGGGCGAGACGCAGTGCCGTGCGGGTTAGAGCACCAGAGGGAGGGAGAGTGCGTGAGCGCATGGCGTGAACGAGTACGCACGTACGCATGCTCAGGCCTCGTCGTCGCCACAGAGTCTGTGGCCCTGGGTAGCGCCATGCTTAGCGATGAGTTTCGGATGTAAAATGACAGTTTTTGGAATTAAGATTTTTTTTTCAGGAAAATTTTTGGGGTATTTTTGCGGGGGGGGGGATGGGGGGGATTTTTGGGGGGGATTTTGGATCGTCCGAAATTTCGTACGTAGGCCCGATTTTAAGAATCTTTACATTCCGTAATAATAATTTAACGTGTCTTTTTGTGCGACATCCACGCGACGCTTCCATCGGCAGGGAAAAGCGCAGAAGTGGTATTGTACAAATTGTGTCATTTCCTGTGACCTCGTACTCAATTGGAAACAAAAAACGACCATTTTTTTTTTACATTATTCGAAATGTCATGCCTAGGCCCGATTCTTGAGAATTTATTTGTTTTGGATCCGTCCAAAAATCGGGGGGGACGCAATGCCTAAGCCACCGCGGTAACCAACGTTAGCTCGAGCCAAGCACGGCCGTGGCAAGCAAGGACTGACGTCTCGTCGAGGGGCATTAATTACGCTGGCTATTTCGTTCGGTCGTTGCCCCCGCCCCCTCCCTGTGAATCTCATCACCAGGCAGCCAATTAATTGGCCAATGTGGAATTTAATCACGGCTAAGAGCGTTTGAGATCGTCCCAAAATCTGAAGTGCCAACTCCGTGAGGGAATTATTAAATGTCTGCATTCGTTAAATAAACTGTGGACATTATGTTTTCTCAAATCAATTGCAGATGTTGTGCGACAGGATTCGGAATTTTTTCTTTCTCAGTTTATATCGAGTACGTAAAAAAAAAACAAGAAGTCCCCACCCTCTAGTATTGCACTTAAGAAGGACCCAGGAGGACTATCAATTTCGGAATAATTACCATTACCAATGAGTTTTGCAATAGAGGGATAATTAAAATGTAACACCAATGATGCAGGAGAAAGGGAATGGGCATATCTACACAAGCAGCTATTTCAACAGCCAATGTTCATTTTTTTATATATATTTCAAAAAATGTTTTCAAACTAGCTAAATGTATTTCCGAGTAATGCCTGCTGCCGTTGTTTCGACGCAGCAATTGGCTCACCGAAACATACTCGGCCAGCAAAAGTAAAGTCAAATAATTTACGTTTGCCAATTCTGGCCAGTGTAACCGCGAGATGGGTGGCTTGTGCACTGACTTAATGGCACCGGACGGATGAGGTGGAGGCATCAGCTAAAGCAATGGGATGTCTCGAATAAATATCAATTAAATTATGCTTCAATGGAGGTGGCGGGGGGGGGGGGGCGGTGCAGATAGAAAATTAAAATGAGACATTCGCGAAATAAATAAATTTCACAATGGGGGGGGAGGGGTGGGGAGTTCCTTTGGTGCAAGGTGTCCCGCCCCTCCAGACCCACGACGTTACCTCTGAGGCCCCCCCTCTGTGCAGGCGCCTTGCCATCCTGCCCAGGCCACCTAGGGGTCCTGAGCTGAGCCCAGACGCTACACTCATAAGCCAGGGCGGCACAAGCGGCGCGGAACCCTGCGAGCGGACACACCCGGTCAACGAGACACAACCGTAAACCGGTTAACGAAATTTTTTGTTTTACTTTTTCCGGGCAATGAAAGGCGGTGGGAGCTTTTCGGGTTTTTTTCTTCCGTTTCTGATATCTTCTCCGCAATCATCCGGCGGCGAGAGATCGCCGGAGCGAGTTAAGCTCTGTCGATCCCCTCTCGCCGAAGACCACCCGCAGACCTCGCATCGTCTATCACTGAAATCCGGTCCCGCTTGGGCACTTGGGCACCGGGACAGCGGTGGTTCACCTATGGAAGATGCAGCTGGTGCTTTCGTGAAGGCGCAGCGGAGAGCAAGTTGTGTGCTCGGCACTAGAAAAGGAGAGAGGCTCATATGCGCCTATTCATTCATTTAGTATCGTAGCGGTGTTATTACTATTATTATGCGTGTTTGCACAGGGTAACACTCACCGAGTCTCATGACTTTTGCATGAGGGTCCTGCCAGGTTTTTCCCAGAGAAATGTAAAATTTCCATGTACATTATATTCCAAATGAGTATTAATATATTAAATTGCTCACTGTTTTCCAAGGTGATGAATGAGAAAAATATAGGCCCGTTTTAGTAAAGCACATCAAATAATCTACACTGAAGCGGTGCAGGTTAGAATTATTTTAAGGTCTCCGCCAGTTAGAAAAATAGGATGCTTACCCACCTATACTGGACATCTGTGGAAAAAAAGATCTTCATAGCTCAACGAATTCCTCCAGTCTAAATACACATTTTGATTTCCAGATGCGTCGACTGCAAGGAAAACCGGGGCGACAAATTGCCCGTCGCTGAATAAAAAATTCGGTCCGAAAATAAAATAAAAATTGTTCTTGTATCGTCCGTTGCCCACTTACACTGCCATCCAACCAATGATGGAAAGATTGATGACAATTTATTTTTGAAAGTTCAAGGCTGCGCAATGAAACCGGCAAGAATGAACCGTCCAATCGTGAGACCGTGCGAGGTGGCCAGACGGCTTTGGGGAGGCCTTCATCCAGCAGTGGATGGGTCACGACGATTCGGATCTGTTCAAAAACGTACGCTGCCATTGCACCACGTGCGAGCAGGTTGGGGCGGGGTCGCTTTTGCTTCCTTCGACGTCTGCCAGTCCTGCTGCGAGTTTTACAGACTTCTCGATTAGTAGGGGGTTTCACTTTGCGTGTGAGCCCAAAGCCACGGCAGAGAAGCAGCGAGGGCACCAAGACCAAAACTAACGCGACAGAGAGACAGATGCTGCCGTCGGTTACCATGGTTAGCACACTGGACTAGCAATCCGGAGGTTTTCGCTTGTTCCGATTCACCGGCACGGAAGTGAAAACAACGGTGCAATTTAATTTTAATCCCACCCCCCCTCCGCCCGCCCTACCGCTTGTGTCCACCCAGCAGGTACATCACAGTTGGCCAATCAGCAGGTCGCATGCGGTGGGTAAAAGTGTGGGTCGCTCCAATCTCTTCCAAGACGTCCGGACAGTGTGGAAGAATAGGCCAAATACACTACATAGGGGCTCTGCAGAGCTCCCTCCAGTAGCGGCAGCAGTGGCGTGAGAAAGCAATAACAGGATTGCACTTTTACCTTGTTTATATTAAGAAAGAGGGGGGGTCATGATAATTCATAGGAATGTGGAATTTCCACCACCAGTATCAACGCTGTCTATTGTGATGAACACCACCCAGTGCTCGTTTGAGCATAGGTGACTTCATACAATTACACAAGTGTGAGATTTATATAACGTCTCAAGCAGCTGTAAAACATTTTCAATAACCATTTCTTATGAGCTGACTGGTGGCACAGTGGCCTTCTAAAACCTCATTCATCTTCCCATTCAAATACAAAGTCATTACATGCCACACGTGCCTGATGACTGTTAAACACATCCCACATCACACGGGCCTCACACACACACACACACGTGCACACGGACGCATGCACGCGTACGCAACATCCTCGATCTTAATTTCAATCGGCACTCTATACATCACTTGGGATGTGTTTGGCAATCACCAAGGCGCGTGCAGCGTGCAACGACCTAATCAGCACGTGATAGGAAGTGAACGAGTAAACTCGGCGGGACGCACCGCGGGAGATCGAGAGGAACGTAGTTACAGAAACTCGAGGTCAGGCAGAAAAATGTGGCCTTCAATTGGAAGGATGCAAGTTCAAATCCCACTCGGGATTTGAAATTGCATCAACGAGTACCGCTCTGTTGAAGGTCAACCGTGGTTCTATGGATAATCTGACCCCTCGTCATAGGAACGTGCAATTTCCACGACTGACTCTGGGCGACGATCGGAAGGAGACAAGCACCACTGCCATGCACGTGAGAACTGGAACAAAAAAAACAGCTCCCGACTCGGGCACACGCTCGCTCCCCCCGCCCGCCCGCTCGCTAGCTCGCTCGCTCGCTCACCTGGTCCGACTGCACGTACTCAACCACCTCCTCCACCACCACCTCCGGCTCCACAGACCCATCCGGGGTCACCACCTCGGCCTGCTGCTGCTGCTGCTGCTGCTGCCGCCGCTGCAGCTGGCGCTGCGCTCCGTTCGCCGTCGCCGCTCCCTGCTCCGCGGGCGATCCTCTGTCCTCCCGCGCTCCATCCTCGTCCGGTGCGCCCACCCCGACCTCGTTGGCGCCCCCCTCTTCATCCTCGTCGTCCTGCTTCGGGGTGCTGGCGGCGATGGGCGGCGGCACGGGCGACGGCGTCCGCCGCAGCGCGAAAGGCGCCACCGGCGACGGCGTCTCCTCCTCCTCCTGCTGCTGCTCGAAGTCGTCGGGCAGCGGTCCGGTCACCGTGGCGACGGGGTAGCTGTGGAAGTCGGCGAACATTTCGGCGCCGCCGGCGCGCCGCTGCAGCCCTTGCGTGGCCGACTCGTACGCCGTCACGTGGTGGCTGCGGCCCTCCTTCCAGCCGGAGCCGAGCCGCCGCTTGCCGGCGCCGCCGACGCCGCGAGCGGCCGACCTGGGACTGGGCGGGGGCGTGTGGACGGGCGTGCCGTCGGCCGTCGCGTCTTGGCGGCAGAAGCGAGGGCTGGACTGCTCGTCGTGCTGAGCGCCGCGGCTGCCGCCGTGGCGCTCGTCGGCGTGCTCGGGCAGCGCCGGAAGGTGGTCGTCGCTGTCCGCGGCGTCGCGCATGATCCGCTGCTTGTGGTACTCCAGTCCTGGTGTGGCGGCAGAGAGTGCCGCGGCAGTGAGGGCGGATTTTAATTTTAAAGCCCCAGCCGCCCGCGGTGGCAGCGCCAAGCCAGAGATGCAAATTGCGCATTACCAAGGCTGCAGCGAGTCTTTCCGCACGAGAGAATAACGTCCCGTTTACCGAGGAGAGGGTTAAATCATTTCCACGGTGAATGTACACCGAGCCCATTTCCCCGCAACCTCCCATTTGCACGGTTGGCCAAGTACGGTGCAAAAGAAGTTCAACATACAAACATACACTGCTGGATATTGTATCATGTGTGCCAGGCCGAATCAGAATATTTATGCCGGAGGAATCTGATGAGCTATAAAGCTCTTTTTCACAGATGTCCAGAAGTCAGCACACTGCTGGCCGAGGGCTTCTCCATACCAAGCGGTAATGAGGTATTTTTTTTTTACCGTACTTTACCTCGCTGGCCGGTGTGCGTTGACGAATGCGATGGAGGATAGACGAGAGAACACAGAAGTGCAGTACAGCAATATATTTTGCTGCACTGCCCCCTGTTGCCCACGACATAGCCATGCGAATGCCTATAATACCTCGAGTGCATGGTGGTAGTGGTCACGCATCCAAGTACTATCCAGGCCATATATGAAGAGCTGAAGTGACACTGTCTGCATGCTCGAATCATATCTTGGGGCAGCGGAGCGGCACTGTTGGAGGCGCTGAGCCAGACGCGGGAATTCCACGTCTTGGTGGGGACTCATTCTCACACTGTTGACTCTCCACAATGTGGTGCCAATGTTGAGACGTGCGTTGCCAATTTCCGAGGTGATGATGATAATGATGATGGATTTGGGAGGAGGTGGGATGCTGATGGTGGTGATGACGACCGTGAATGTTTTGCTGTTTAACTGTGGATCTGAAAGGTCAGGGGTCAACGAGGCGGTGTCACTGCTAAGCCACGTGACGGTGCCCATGCGCCTCTACTCAAATTGAGCTCTCAGTGTCCTGTCATGAGACGAAGTGTCCCTTTGGATCTCGAGCAGTGCCGGCATCATCATACTGTGCTGAGAGAATGGAACCGTTGGAAGCAGATTTCACGTAACTACTTCTGAGATACCATCAAGTTACCCTTTTTTTTGTATCCACATGCTCGGGCATGCTTCCCCACAAGCCCCGCTTGCTACAAGACAAATGTTCGCCACGTGACAGTCGAGCCGACATATTTTTTTATTCCTTGGCACTGAAATGAACCCGATTGAAATTCCTAATTGAATGTTTCGGCGCTTCTCTTCGGTGCAGTCACACCGACGACCGAGCTGAGACCGTCGACTCGCTACACCTTGAGAGCCCGGCTGTACCACGGGCGGTGGCTGAAACCTGGGAATCTGGAATCTCAGCGTTTTCCGGATCAGAACTCTGACCTCCAAAGCCACCTGCGCACTCACTGCCAGCTCTGTAGTGTGACCTTGTTTAAAGTGGGGGGGGGGGGGCTTACAAAAACTCTGTGGCGAGCGGCGGCGGCGGTGGGCACGACAGTCTACGTTAAACAAACTTTAAACAAATGTCAGACGAAACGTTAAACGGGTTGGTTGACGATGCAGCCCGCCCTTCTCGAGCATGGCTTCTGCCCGAGCCTCTCACCACCCCCGTGTGTATGCATGGGCTATGAAATGTTGAGATGCCCACCGCTTAATTGGCCCCCAACAGCCAAACAATCCCCCGCCTCCCCGCACCTTCTGCAGCGCGGTGTTTCACGAGGAAGCCGCAGCGCCGTTGCCCGTCGTGATTTTAACGAGAGGAGGAGGGCGGCCTGGCGCTGCGCCCGCCGGGACGGCCGCAGCTCCGGCAGTCGCGAAGTGTGGGGAGCGCGCACGTCAAATTAGCCCCTCTGAGTCGGTCCAATCTGCCGCAGGGCTCTTAATTAAGCGGGAGGATCGTCCGCAGAGAGAGAGAGAGAGACAGAGAAGTCTCAAGTTGCGACTGCTCGGCAGATTCCTCAGTCTGGGCTCTGGCACTGAGCCCCCCCCCTCCCCACACTCACCGCCTGCCACCCACCTCCCCACACTCACCGCCTGCCACCCACCTCCCCACACTCACCGCCTGCCACCCACCTCCCCACACTCACCGCCTGCCACCCACCTCCCCACACTCACCGCCTGCCATCCACCTCCCCGCACTCACCGCCTGCCACCCACCTCCCCACACTCACCGCCTGCTACCCACCTCCCCACACTCACCGCCTGCCACCCACCTCCCCACACTCACCGCCTACCACCCACCTCCCCACACTCACCGCCTCCCACCCACCTCCCCACACTCACCGCCTCCCACCCACCTCCCAACCCCATCTCCTACTCGGCCCGCTTTTGATCAGCGCTCAGTTTCAGCCGCGCAACTTTTTACAATCGAACATGAAACGGAATCTGAGAAGGGGCATTTTGTCAGCTACACCGCCAGCCTTTTCATCTTTTTATTGTCCCCTTCACCCTTTCCGTCATTATTTTTTATTTTTGTTGACCGACGTCAAAAAAAAAATAACACGGCACCCCCAACAACCAGTTGTGTTCACCCGCGGCACGCGCTGAGCCCCGCTCAGATCGTTCCCCCCTCACGTGTGTTCGGGCAGTGCCGTGCGCATTGTGGATAGGGCGGGTTTCCGCATACCGTTCGGCAGGTTGTCCGACGTTTTGCTCCGCGTCCTGAGAGCTTCAGGCGAAATTTTTTAGGCGAAACCCAAAAACACGTCGGAGACCTACACGGCGTGACCGCGAGCATCTGCGCAGTAGATTGTTCGGCTATTAAAAAGTCGAATCAATTGAAATGTTTTTACGTGTCTATTTAGTTGAATTCCGCTCGCACTATTTGCGGCTGTTTTTATACAATGCACAATTTGTTTTTGTTTTTGTCTCTTGCAGGCTTAACATTGATGTTGCGTTTGAATAAGTTCAAAGCACAGATGTTTTATAATGGGTTGTGTTTGGAAGTTTGATATCTGCATTATGTTGCACAGACATTGTTTATGCCAACTCATGAAAATTCAATCCATTAATCCACTTGGTTCATAAGTAAAAAAAAGAACACATCAATCATCTCGGTCTGTCGTGAATCCATCAGCCCACTTGCGACAACCATTTAATTTGACCTGTCATGCGATGAACATCGGCGTCATTAGTGCTGGTCTAAGAAGGGACCAAAAACAGCGCCTCCGATTAGCGCGGTTGGCCATGTGCAGTACGAAAGAAGCTCAACATACAAATAAACAGGCTTGGTTTTAATTGTCGAGCCAAAGTCCCCAGTCACCACGGTCGCAGCACCGAAAATTGCGCATTGCCATGGCTGCAGCGAGTCTTTCCGCAGAATAAAGTCTCATCAACCGGGGAGAGGGGTAAACCATTTCCACGGTGCATGTATACGCGCAGCCCATTTCCCTGCAACCTTCCAATTGTTGGCCAAGTACGGTGCAAAAGAAGTTCAACAACAACAACCGCCATTCGCCACTAAGTGGCAGCGGCGTCACCACGGCGCTTGTGGCCAGGCTATGTGCACGTTGAGGCCACGTGAAGTGTCGAGCGCCCGCTGCCAGTGGGTCACGGGTCAGACCCAGGTGCCACGGGTCGACTGTCTGGGATGAAAGACGTCCAACATACATACACACACACTGCTCGATATTATATCATCTGTGCCAGTGTTGTGTGTGTGGTTTTTTTTTTATTTCTCGCGGGAGTTTAGAGTGCGAGCAATTGCTTTCCTTGCCACCTGCAATATCCGCCACTTGACCGCAAAACCACGCGCGTCCCTGTAGCGTGGCGCATACGACAACGCGCAGCAGCAGCGGCAGCAGAGTTCTCTGCAGGGACCCGGCGAAACGTCGCGCCGGGAATGAGCGGCACGTGGCAGAAAGGGGTCACGCGAAACGCCGGGGACGGGAGCGGACTCGTCACGGACTGCATGCTCGGTTCCCGGTGACAGGTGCCTACGTCGGGAAGGAAAGGTCACCGCGAGACGCGGGGCATCTACGCGCGTCCCTCTCTCCCGGCCGCGGTGCCCGGCCACTGCCAGCACGTGGGCCAGAACGTGGGCACAGTGACGACGATGATGATCGTGATGACGGTGGTGATGGTGATTTATAAAGTCAGGGTGTCTTCACGAGGCAATACCCTTCTCCTGTTTGCAGCCCAGAGCCGGCGGTGGTTGGTGGGAATTCCTCATTCCTACCATGCGATGATGACCACAGCGACTGTCGACTGCCCACAAAGTGGTAACAATTCGACCTGGAGATCGATCACGGCGCAATCATCTACACCGCTGGGTGGACAGGGGCGATGGGGGATTTGAGAAATTCGCACCACTGTTTGAACTGCCGCGTCCAAAGATCTAATCGAACCGGTGAGCCTCTGGATTGCAAGTCCATTGTGCTCAATGGATTGCAAGTCCAATAACCGTATTCTCAGCATGATAAGACCCACTCTTTTTCCCTTGCACGTATTTGAACGCAAAAGTTGGGGGTGCGTATTGTAATGCAGTAAATTCTTCTGTGTGTGCGTGCGAGGCCAGATTTGTAGAACTGCGTTGACACCAGGGAGAGGTTCGGGGTGCGTCTTACTTTCTGGAGCATCTAAACATCCAGAGAACACGGTAACACCATGGCAGCTTCTCCTCCTCCACACAATCCTCTCCCTTGTATCAGTTTCAGAGCCCCAGACGAGATACTTCACTCATTGGTACCACCTGAGATGACATGACTCTCGCGGTTTCAATTTCTTTACGTGACCGATAACAGTGAATTACGTGATAACCGCTTGAAGTGAGTGGGTTATTCGTCGATTCGCTGGTTATATAATGCACCCTTATTAGCCGTATACATAAACAGGTGCTACTAAAGCTGGTGACCAATGTATCCTCTGGCCCACGGACTAAATCTGGGACAGACGCGTGGCGCACGCTGATGGGAACGCGCTGCTGGGAGCTCGGGCACCGGGCCTGGCAGGCGCAGCGACTGCTGCTTACAGCCATGCACAGCAGCAGCAACAGCATCAGCGGTGGCAGCAGCAACAGCATCAGCGGTGGCAGCAGCAGCAGCAGGAACAGCGGCAGCGGTGGCAGCAGCGGCAGCAGCAGCAAGAGCCGCAGTAACTCACTTAACAAGTATTCCGCCACGCAGCCTCCATGTTTTTGGTTACCGTTTATAACATAAATCACGGGGGCTAGCACAACCAAACAAAAATAGTCGAGCTCACGGAGCATTCTAGGAGCCCCCCTCTGCTCCCACCTCCTACCCCCCCCCCCGCTCCCCCTCCCGGCTCTCTTCAATTCCGGCCCAGTTTTAAAGCGATTTCCGGCACGCTTGAGCGTAAAAAAGTAAGAGTGTTCTTGTTTTTTTAAATAAGACAACTACGTGAGAAATATCTTTTTTCAAATAATTGACACAGTTGCGCGTGCCTCTCCGTTGGTTCATTAAACGGCTCCCTGGCACGCGCGCCACCAAGGCCACCCTTCCCGGAGAGCTGTGCCTCGCTCAATTTGGCAACGAGCACCCTCTTCTTCTTCTCGCGAATGGCAAGCACGTGCACTTTACACGTCCCGGTTTTGAGTCTGTGAGCCGCGCGACAACAGCTTCGGGAAGTTGCGCGACCAATCCTGTCCCGATTTAAAGCTTTCGTGACCGCAGGGATTCATCTTCTTGGTTCTTTCGGTAAAGTCACCACGTAGAATGGAAATAAAATAATACAAATAAAAATAAAACAGAACAAAATAATAAAAATGTTTTATTTTTATTATTTTATTTCCATTCTACGTGACTATACCGAAAGAACCAAGAAGATCAGTCCTGTTCCGTCTGCCGGAGAGCGGGGCCGAGCCAATGATGCAGTCGGTTGAACGATGCGGGGCACTGTTTGCTTCGGCGCGGCCGCGAGTCATGGCACAGTTTGACGGCGTCCTGAAGCGGTTGATGGAACGGGAACGTGAGTTGCTCAGGGCACCCCGCTGAGGTGTTATTCGATGCACGCCTGTCCGTCTCGGCTCCGCACAATTAGTCATCAGAACGCCATGCAAACTCAGGGATCGTCGGCAGTGGGCCAGGTCGGTCAGTGTCACTGATGCGGCGATTGTGAGCGAAGTCAAAGATAGACCCACACGACCTATTGTCAGATTCAAGCGCACCATCTCAGTGAATCTGGCCTCGCTCAGTGTCTGAACACAGCGATTAGGAACCTCCTGAGATATTTGGAGAAAGAGAAAGCCAAAGCAAGTGTTTGCTGGATACATACATAGAGTGAGGCCTTCCTGGATAAATGAATGGCATCATTATTATATTCCAAAAGGGTCTCCTGCCCACCAGGACAGGATGCGACGTTTGTGCGAACGAAGCTGCCCTTTGATGTCTTGTCGCGCGAGCAAGGCTGGAGGGAGGGGGGGAGGTGCACGAGCGGAGGTGCGTCGCCTGGCGCCGTAATCAATACCGACACCGTGACCGCGGAACGGAATTGGGGGCCCCCTTGCGATGGCGTGGCGCGACCTCTGCTCGAAATTCCCGTCGCCAATTCTCAAGTCCAAAATTACACGCAACGGGCGAAGGGGTAGAAGACACGCGGGCCACCAGCCACTTGCCGGGCGAGCGCTAAGCGCTCCAATTAAGGACGAGTTTTAACGAGCTGGGTCAACGTGCTGCTCGTTCATTATACAGCCTCAGGCTCCCGGATCAAAATTCGCGCTCAGCACGAGGACCTTTGATCCGCACCCACCTGCGAGTCCATTCGCTCGCGTTCTGCCGCTCGGTAAACGCGGACGCGCCGCGATTCTTTGTGTTTTTGTTTTTACTTCCATTCCCGTTCGAGGTCCTTTCGTCTCGCCCTCGCCCAAGCGAGATGGCTGGGTGTCAAGCGCGCGTTTCGATAGGAAGAGAAAATCCCCCAGGGTAGTTTTGCTTTATAAATAAATTCGCCCAACATCAGTTGAGAACAATGCGGTGCGGCATTGTTAAAACGCGGTCGATACGTTAACCGTGCATCACCCGTGACGGCTTAGGGCACCAATTAGAGCCTGCGCCGTCAATCACTGATTATTTGCCATGATAACGCCGCCTTGCCGCACCGTCGTAATGATGCGCAATAGCACCACGCCGATGTTGCCGTGCAGATCTGTGTGTGTGTGTGTGGTGTCAAGACACCGCAAGTCACTGTGCTACCCGTGTTCGATTCCTGCTCACGGCCAACATTGGTGACGATAATCAGAACCGGTCCTGGGCCTCCCCTAGGTTGACTCAGCCTCAAATGAGTACCTGGTGCGGCGTGTAAACATCGCCACTCAGGAGATTAAGGCGGCCGGGCGTGGTGTTGGCCACCCACCTCCTCGCGTGCCGCGACGGCCTTCATAGGTGCTCGCTAACGGCACCTGTCCAAAAAGTCCATTAAGGCTACACGGGGGAATTTTCGTTGTTATTGTTGCGCGCGATGTACGCGAAGCTATCAGCGTGCGTGTGGTGGCCTGTGCGCGTCGAAGCATGGGACGCTCAATCCCACACGCCACGTGCATGACGCGGCATTGCACTCTACACGTGACGGCGCTGTTGTGTGCGAGCGACAATCCGTACACTCGTGCGTGCACGACGCTGCGTCGTTGCTGTTGCTGTACCCGGCTGGTGGAACGTGGGCGCGAGCTCCTTGGAGATCATCCGCGCCAGTTTAGACGCCTCCTGGGCAGCGTGTGCCGCCGCGTCTGCCGCCTCCATCTTCCCGCGCGCGTGCTGGGTCCTGGGTGCAGACAACGACGACAACAGCAACGGCAAAGTGCCCATCAGCAAACTCTCACTTCTCTTGGTCGGGTGTCGCCACCTGTCCTGGGCTTTCCTCGGACCTCCCGTTATTGAAGTAGCTGCTGCTGTCCAGGGAAGTTTATGCATCTTCTCAGGACACTAAAAGCCACGGTTTTTGACAGTTGCGTAATAATAACAGCACGCCACTCAAGATGATGTGCCTATATGTGGTTGTCACCTATTCGGGTATTCTGAACTGTTCATCCCATGATATGTCCCGTTTCTTTTTTTTATTTCAGAGGTGGCAAACCCTACATAGCTGCGAGTGAGCACCTGTTAAGGCGAACTTCGGGGCACAATGACAGCCGGCAGTCATTCATGCTGATTCTATCTAGTGGAGACTCAGACAAGGTCATATTCTAGTTGGCACCGATGTTGTGTATCATAGCTAGCAAAATGAACCCAGAGTTTCTGGGATTGTGGCCCAGTGCGCTAACTCCTGAATAACTCCACCTCTGCTCCACATAAAGAAAATGACACGGTGCCTCGCTTTTTGTCGATCTGCCCTGGCCAGCGTGGTGAAGTGAGGCCAAACAACTCCGAAGACTGACAATAGGTTTGGGAGAACTTCATCCAACAGTCAATTGACAAAGAGATGAAATAAGAAAAATTATGTTCCATTGTTATTCGGTTTATAGGCAGGTAGCAACGAATCAATACATTCATTTAAAGTGTTTAAACCCTAATACTCCTGATACTTGCATTGAACCGTGCGTGTAAGGATCGATTATCTACAGTTCATGCCAATGCTACATTTAGTCAAAGGAGCAACATAAACTGGACATGCGAGACAAAACAAATGGGTAATAACATATTCGAGATGGGGGGAAATGAGGCAAACAAGAATCCATTCTTGAATCGAATCGTGACCCCGAATCACAAAAAATCATTGAATTATCGTGGAGGGGGTGTGAATTATTATTATATATTCAACTTATAAAGAGATCCCATTTAAATGTCTCCGTGAATTCTAACCAATATATTGATTGCTGTCGGACTTGTATCATATTCTCACGATTATAAGATGCACTTTAATTCCCAGACTCCACTCGATTGGTTTAATAAATTTATATATTTCCCATTTTCCCCGTATATCGTATAATCAAGGTTTAAAAAAAAAATTCTCAAAACGATGCCAAAGGTGTCGGGAGCGTAAAAAACACGTTTTGGAGCGTCTTATAATGCAGAGGATTTTAGAGCGGCATAATAATTTGGGCGGCGCAATTACTCCATGAGTCAACGAACGGCCGATGACTTACAAGAAAATGGGGTCAAGGAATTCGAACAACAAAGTCCCGTGTCTGTCTGCGTGTGGGTCTCGGAAAGAGCAGACACGGAAGGATCGAGTGGGCTCTGGAGACGATAAGGCCTGGGTGATGGTGACACTCAACGCGCTGCGATGAATTATTCACAGTGCGTCTTTTACGGAGAGATTTTTTTTTTGCCGGTGGTTTGTGTCACTTTCCCTTGAAAGGCTGATCTTCTTCCCGGGCGAGGGTTTGGAAGCGGGCAGCCACGTTAATGAACTTGGTTTGGTTTGTCATACGAACCTCGATTTTACTCCTTGGCCACAATTATTAATTTTGGTGGATTAAAACGCATGCAGTGTGGTTTGTTTTGATCACGTGATGTGCAAGGCAGCATTGAGAGGGCCAAGCTTCACATGATTCACAATTGCACCTTTTTTCTGTCTCATACATGCCAACCCATACGTTTTACCCAGTATTTTTGTACAGGGAAATTTAGTTTTCAGGTCCATACGGCGTACAGCCGTTTCAATACGAGCAACGTATATATGTTTTGTCGATTTGTTTGTGTTTCTCCCTTGTGATGGGACTTTGTAGGATGTACGTTGAGATTTATAAGCACACGGGGTGACCAACAAGGTCTGAATTGGTCTGTAATAAGGTAGGCACCGATACGGGGTTGACAAGTATGCTGTCTACAAATCACCTTGTGTGATCTAATGCTGCCGAATGTTACCGTGCAGAGCTCCGGGCGTTACTCCCTTATGTGTTTGGGTTTTCTCGGGGCAGTGTAAGTTTACTCCCATTAGCCAAACAATCGTTCATACAGAACCGACCAAAACCCACCGTGTTAAGACTTATTACTGAGAAGAAGAAGGAGAAAACGAGTCTTGCGACTCGGTGAGGTTTTTCTTGGCTAAAGGGCTCACTATTGTATTCATACAATGTGACTTCCACGAGCTAAAGGCCTCTTTTCTCTCGGCTACATCAGCAACAGCTGCTCCTCCGGGTGCCGTTACCTAGCAACGATAAGGCCTGTGGCCTGGTAGGGCCAATGGTCAACATTCCCCACTGTTAGTTTCACAGTAGGCTTTCGCGACCGATATTATTCATCACAGACGAGGGGTTATTTTTTTTAGGTTAGATAAATATATAAACGCGTCGCTAAACCCGCCACCACCCGACACAGCCAATTGGCAAGGCTTGTCACGTAAACAGAACGTGCCAAATGCGTCACTGGTACAGCACACCGGTAGTGTGTTGGAGAGTAAATCCACAACATTTACAATTTGAGGACGACGTAACCCCACCGTCGCTGGAGTCGCCAGCCATCCTGGCTATATCCAAGGATCGTTGCGTTTACCGAGGTAACCAACAGCATCGTGTAATCATGCACAACTCGTGTAGACGTTCTCCAATCTTCCGGCAATTGTGACATAAGTCTTCCACCCCGTGGCATTGTGATGTCCCGATTTAATTTGCACCTCAGAGGTGGCAGCTGTAACCGTTGCAACCTCCTCCACCGCTACAGGTGTACAGTTTAACACGTAGGAGGCTTTCGCGACCAATATCATCCATAATAGAGGTTTTTGGGTTCGGGGCCGTCCATAAATGACGCCACGCGATTTTGGACGATTTTTGACCCCCCGCCCCCCCTTGTCACACGGCGTCACAAGAAGTCAGCCCCCCCCCCCCCAGGTGCGTGACGTCATTTATGGACGGCCCCTTAGATCGCGTAAATATATAAATGCGTCGTTAAAACCTGCCACCACCCGACAGCCAACTAGTAAGATGAAGCTGATTGTAATTACTGGCGAAACGTCGTGCTCAGATTGTAAATGTTGTGGCTTGGCTCCCCAACACACTGGTGTGGCTGTACTAGTGACGAAATGACACGTTTAGTTTACGTGATAACCATTACTAGTTGGCTGTGTCGGGTGGTGGCGGGTTTGAAAGACACATTTATATATTTACGCTCTCTAACGCAAAAAACCTCTATTATGGAGGTGTATATTTATCTACTTAATGTAGCCACGTGGACAATGACACCGGATTTGACGAAGCCTCCAAGCTCGCCGGGCCGAGGCTCAAGGCTGCCTCTCGGGCCTCATTAGCGGCGTGCGGAACAGCGACCCAAAGCACCGGCCGGCGTTATGAGAAGGAGTACCGGGGAGCTCGTTAATAAGATAGGAGAGCAAAGCAACAACAACAACAAATTAATTCCGCAAAAAAATAATACGCTTCATTTGCTTGTGCAAACGCGCTGCTGTTGCTGCAATCATTACTCATTTTCATTGGTTGCCAACCAACGGTGTCACATTAGTGGCTGCTCTTGTGTCATTTTGTCTCCCGGTATCTGAGGCCGGGGTCTCCCTTGCAGGACAGTCACTGTCCCTCTCATGGCTGGAAATAAAGGCTTCAATTATTCTCGCCTTTTAAAAAATTAATGGCATTTTTGTTCCACCCCCCCTCCCACTTGCCTGCAAGGTAACCATTAATATGAATGCTTTTCTTCATAATTTAACCCCCCCCCCAGAGAGCTTGGCTGCTTACAGCATTCGTCTCCACAATGTGCCCGAGCATAAGGGGCAAGAATTAACAGAAAGCTTCGTAATTTATGCCGCCACCGATTGCACTGATAACGGCGAAGTCTAATTACACAACTCTGTGTGTGAGGTTGCATTTGATCATCATCGTGGTCATCATCATCATAATAATGAGCGGATCGTGCTCTTTCGTGCCATTCTCAAAGTGCGAGGATAAATCCGTGGGCAGTGTGTTTCACCGGCAGGTGAGTCTGGCGTTAAGGGTCAACACTCCTCTGTGGTTTAACCAAAGTGAGTAACTTGCGAGGCATTTTACAAATTTGAACCGTTGACGCTGACACGTCGCCTCCTCCTCTTTTGCGAATGATGTCACTGCGAAGCAGACAGCGAATACTTATGGTTCGCTAAAACGAAAATATTTTTTTATTTATTTTATCAGGTAAGGCTTCACTTAGCTAAATAGCTCTTTTTCTGAAGCGACCTGGCTATCACAAATGATAGCTCAACGAAGTGGGCTTATCACGTGGAAGTTTATTGTGGCCGGATACTCTAAGCGCATGTTGATTATAAATGTGGAGGGAAAAAAGGGAGGACACGTAGAAAAATCTAAATATGTAGGCGGCAGAATCGGGATTGAACCCACGACCTTCTGTATACCAGGCGAGGTAGTTAACATCTCGCCAGCGAGGTTAACCTCACGCTAACCGGGGCGGCCGCAGGGTGCGAACCGTGAAAGCCTCTGCAACAAGTAACGAATGTCGGAATCAGAATATTTATTTTGGAGAAATCTGATGAGCTATGAAGCTCTTTCCCACAGATGTCCAGAAGGGGTAGGTCAGAAAGTTACAACGACAAACAATAAATTAAAAAATCAGGAGTGCAATGCACAGAAAAGGTACGTAAATTACTCAATTATAATAACGTAAAATAGTCATAATAAAGGTTTTTGGGTTAGATCGCGTTTATTTATAAATCTGTCGTAACCCTCCACCACCCGACACGGCCAATCAGCAAAAAAAAGTGTCACGTTGACAAAAGACAAATAATTCACTACTTTAGCCCACCGGTGTGTTGAAGAGTGAATCCACATTTACAGTTTGAGTACGACGTTTCGCTGGTAAATACATCCAGCATCATCGGGCAAT